GTGGGGGGTGCTGAGGGTGGCTAGGGTGAGGTGAGTAAGGCACTTGCCCCGGGCACAAAATTTAAGGGGGTACCAAAAAGCTCAGTAGTAATCAAGAGAAATAATAGGTGAATGCAATATAGGCAGGATCGGTACCAGTGCTGTGATCCATATTGGAGCCTGCAGCAAAAGGAAAAATCAGTAGTACGAATCCTGTCTTTATTCTAAATTTTGATATTTTGTTCATCATGAGTTTTTTGCATTAATTTTGATTTTTTAAATTATTGCATTCAGGACTTCCCTGGTGGTGCAGTGGTTAAGACTCCTCATTTCCACTGCAGGGGGCACAGGTTCCATCCCTGGTCAGAGAACTAAGATCCCACAGGCTGCACAGTGCAGCCAAAACAACAAAAGTAAAAAAAAAAAAAAAAAAAAGACTTGCATTGAACTACTAGTGATCTGCATTCCTCAGTTTGGGGGCACTTCTTTAAATTTTGTGCCCAGGGAAATGCCTCACTCACCTCATCCTAGTCCCAGCCCGGGAATGGTTTGCAATCACCCTCTGCTCGAAGGATTATCGTGTCAGTGAGATAACACGGGAGCTGGGTATTATCATTTTGAGATATTAACTGCTGCTCCTCGGGAGGCAGTTCCCTTCCCCTCCATTCAGATGCTAAATTAGCTTCTCATATTCTGCTCTCCAAAGGAAACTCAGAACAAAGAGTCAATTCCTTGGCTTTGAGTTGCAAAAGAGGCTTTGAAATACAGAGCCCGTTTTAAAAGAAAAATATTTTTTGTAAGTCAGAAAGCTTGGCTTTGAACTTGGAGAGCAGGGAACTGATGCTGTAAGCCCTGGAGTGGGGAAGGATGTGCCATCACAGAAGCCAAGATTCCACCCAAAAGGAGATAAAGTTTCAACAGGCAGGTGGGAGAGAAGGGGCAGAGCAGTACTCCTAAACCTGGATGCTGGCCCTCAAAGGGGTCCCTGGCCACCTGCTCTGGGCTGAGCTAGAGGGTGCCATGAAAAGGTCCCAAGTACATCTGGGGGACACCGGGGCAGAGGGGACCTACACTTCCTTTACCAGGTATGTCCTGAGGATGCAACAGTCCTCCCACAATGCCTTGCCCCGCTCCACAGTATGGAGAAGCCTCAGTAGAAATGGAGGAAAACTGGCCCCTCCCCAGCATCCTGTATACACCCCTGTATCATGAGGGGGAGTATCCAGAAGTTTATGCACCTCCAGTGCGGACTTGGTGTGTCTGAGAGCAAAGCTGACGGACCTGGAGGAGATGCGTGTGTGGTCCAGGTAAGGCAGCTGAAGGATTGATTGCGTGACCCTGGCAACCAGAGATCAGAGTGTCACAGTTGCTTCTGGGCAGCTATGAAACCGCTAGGTGGAGTTTCGGGGGGCTCTGAGGAGCTCCGGTTCTTTATGTCTCAGTGCAGAAAGAATTCAGCGAGAGGCAAAGTGATAGATAAGAAGTGATTTATTAGAATAGGACGCTTGTGAGGCTGACAAGTGGGCAGGCGAGACAATGCCTCGCCCCAAGGACTTAGTGGGCTACAGTTTTATAATCAAAGGAAAAGTGGCGAGGGGGAAAAGACCACCTCCTTCCTCACTCTTGAGTAGACATCACGCTTCCATCATCAGCTCCTCTTCCATGTCAGGTGGGGGAGTTTTCTCATCCCTACATGGTCAGGCCAGGACTGTCATGGCACAATGGAAATGAGCAAAAAGTGGTAACATATGCTAAAAATGGCATTTCAGGTTTCAGGATAATGTCACCCTTTCCTTATATATATATATATATATTTTTTTTTTTTTTTTTTTTTTTTAATTTTTGTTTCTAATGTGCCCAGAGGGGCATGTTCTAGGAATCATTAACTTACTGAGCTCACTGGGCAGGAAGTGGGTCTCATGCCAAAATTGTTTTAGTGTTTGGGGGAGTGTCTCATGCTTCTGTTTCATGGTTTTGTTGCTAAGCAAGCCTGCTTGGTTTTGTGGTTAAGCAAACCTGCTTTCTTGAGTGATCATTAACTTACAGGGGTCTCCCATACTTTTTTCTTTATTTACAATCCCCTAGTAGGATTAACTATTTAATTACCTACTTTGTCCCTTTACTCTGTCCCTGTCAGGTACAGGGAGGACAGGTGTGGATGACCAAAGCCCACTGAGTTCTCACATCTCAGGGGGAGTCAACATGGATGGATGCTTCTCCCCCGGCAGCAAAGCTCCATGTATACACCCTCCTGGGGAAGGAAATGAAAGGGAGGGGGCAGATCCTGACCTGACTGGATTTGAGTCCTGAATGGACAGTTTTGTCAGCTACAAATTGGCACTTGCCATCTACCTCTACAAGGATTAAATTATGAGTCACTGCAGCTGCTGACTTTCAACACCCCCTGAAAGAGTTCGGGGTGGAGATCAGGAATGAGGCACTCTGTGCTCTGGGAGAAACTGGCAGAACAGGTGTTCAGATAGATATTTTCAGGAGAAGATTTCACGAGCCCACTTCTTGCATCTCCTTGTATCTAGAAAAGCACTAAAATCCTTCATGGTGACGTCTGCTCCTCGTGACAAGCAGTAACCTTCACGAGACTCGCAGCAACCTTCTGCAAAAAATATGCATGTACTCGATTGCATGTACTCCCCCTTCACCAAAATCACATATACACTGACTCCCCCCTGCCCCACCTTTTCGGAGCAGTTGCTCAGAGCTATCTGAAATGCTGCCTCCTGTGCTATAGTCCTCATTTAGCCCCAAATAAAACTTAACTCACAACTCGCACACTGTGCATTTTTTTTCAGTCGACAGTTTAAATTCAAAGAGAACTAAATTGAACTGGAAGCAAAGAGATGGATGCCAGTTACAGAGAGACCAAAAGGTACATTTCTGAGCTCCTGAGTATGTGCCTGTGAAATCCACACCTGCTGTGCACACAGCTGAAGAGGTGGTGCCCTGCACGCGGGAACCAGGTCCAAGGGGCTCCGTTTGCATCAGGAACCTCATAGATTGGTATACTATTAGGGCAAGAGAGGAAGGGTCTGTTTTCCCATGTCTCACAGAACGTCCTTAAGGGCCAGCAGCATCCCTGCCAGGTGTGTAAGGCATCCGGCTCACAGGAGGCACTCCACACATGCTTATTTCCTTCTTGATGGTAACCCACGTGTGAAGGACATTTGAATTCTTTGGGCCTCCCAGCATTGTCCTAGGTTGGAGAACCCCAACTGCTTTACGAGGCAGAACCCACACGTCCTGTTATGGAAGCTGAAAACTCTGGGAATTCCCAGCTTCCTTTGCAGGTTGGAAGCAGGCGTGTGACCTAGGAGCCACCCAGCAGAAGCACCCACCCCAGGTTTTGAATTGGAAATGAGAGCAGAGCAGAAGGGACTGTGTAGAATCCCCTCTGAGGACAGGTGGGGACGGCGGCTGCGGGAGGACCAGCATCCAGTGCCCCTGCAGCAAGATTGTCCTACCACAGGGACTCGAGGGGACCAGAGGGGCCACACTTCACTGGGCCCAGAGCCTCCCAAAGTCTTTCCTGAGCACAGCTTTTTCAGAATCTCACCCAATCTCTTTCCTAGGATGCCTTTCTTAGATAACTTTCTGGCCTGTCTCTTTGACTGGGGACCTCTGAAACACACACACACGCACACACGCACACACACACACACACACAAACACACACACGCACACACAAACACACAAACACCCCTCTTCAGCAAATGAAAATAAAACCCCACGCTTTTCACCAGCTGCAAACTTGAGACCCCCAGTGCAGTGATGTGAGATGTGATGGGAAAGGCCTTGTGTTCCTAACAGAGACTCAAGCGTGCTCTCACTAAGCCGTGAGCCTTTGGGAACCGGCTGCACCTCTCTGGCTCAGGCTGACCTGGTTTTTACAAAGGTCCTTCCAGGGGTGAAGTTTTATGACTCAAATAACTTTCTTGGCAAGCCCTGCCTATAGCAGCATCTTGAGAAGCAAGGAGTGTCAGGGCGCCTGGAAGACCCCAGCAGGCCCTCCTCTGACCTTGAATAGAGGCCCCAGGTGGGGATTTCCTGGGTCTGATCCCTCTCCTAAAATAGTTGCCGTTCAGGGAACATTTCCGTGGGAATGGGTGGCCCTCCAGAGGGTCAGAGAGAAAACTGGGGATGGGGTTCTGACTTTCAGGCCCTCCATCTGTCTGTGGGTAACAGACCCACTGTCCTGCAGCCTCCCCACTCAGGGCCTCCCTCCACCCCCCAGGCCTCCCGTTCCCATGAACGGATGCCTTTTCCCAGCGGAACAGCTGTCCAGCCCATGAGCTGGTGGAGCTTCAGGTCGTCACGTGACTCAGGCCAGATGGTGCCCGTCAACATCAGCTGCCACAGCGCCACGACGGGCCTCAGCCTCACACACGTCCGTGTGCGTCACAAGTGGGCACCCAGCATCTGTCCCCATCCTGCCATCCCATCAGCCCTCTGAGCTCCACACCCCACCCCAATGCCGTCAGCGCAGCACCCACCTGTGTCCCCAGACTTCCCCCAGAGGGAGGCCCTCCTGCGTTCCTGATGAAACGATGAATGCCCACGGAATGTTCCCAGCCCCCGGCAGGCTGTGAGGGCTTAATAAAGGGTAATCATCAGCACTGTACACCTCAGAGCTGTTTCTAAAATATCGGGGGGCGGGGCAGGCATGAAGCTTTTGGGAACAGATTCAATAGGCACCCGCTGAAAGGAGAGACTCGCCTGGTTACAGCTGAGTGGAACAGCTTCCAGGAGGGCCTGGGAGAATTGGCCTAAGAGACAGGGCCCCCACGGGACTTCCCTGGTTGTCCAGCGGTTAGGACTCTGCTCTCCCAACGCAGGGAGCCCAGGTTCAATCCCTGGTCAGGGAACTAGATCCCAAATGCCGCAACTAAAGTGTCGGCGCAGCAAAATAAATAAATATTTTTAAAAAAAAGAGAGAGAGAGACAGGGCCCCCTCAAGGGGCCTCCAGGTTAGGCTGTAAGGCTGTACAGGTGGATCACCCACCCAAACTCTCCCAGACAAGTGGAGGCCTGCTCCCAGAGAAGGGTCCTCAGGGGCCTGTCCAGGGCCAAGCAGGAAGGGACAAAGGCCAGACCCTGTGACAACTTCAAGTCCCCACTCCTATCTGGGACTCGGGTTTCCTCTGCTCCAGCATCACTGCAGCAGCTCTTCTAGCCCACAGGGCGGGCACGGCTCCTAGCTGTAGCTCAGATGGTCAGCTGGAGGCAGGAGGCAGCCGCAGGGTGTGGGGAGCCGGGATTTGGACCCAAGCAGTCTGACTCCGGAGCTCAGGCCTGGACAGCTACCCCCTGCAGACAGCCTGGGCCCAGGAAAGGGGGCCAGGCTGATGCTGGTGGAGGCCCGACTGGAAGCTCAAGTCTCAGAGGCGTGAGCGGACGGGCCCCTGAAAATGAGGCCACGTCTCCCGCTCTCCACCTGACAGCACAAAGGAGAGTGATGTGGCAAAGGCCAGTCCCTCCCACGGGGTTTCAGTAACACAAGTGGCCACAGGGTGAGACGTGCCCACCCCTCCTGCCCTGGTGACGCACAAAGGATTGCTTGGCACTGATCCGGCCGTGGTCGTGGGACCTGCCGGGGGTCAAGGTTGGAATGCAGGGCCCTCAGGCCACTGCAGGGAAGCGTGGTTGGGCTTGGTCAGAGGCTGGGCCGGAGGGGAGAGCAACAGGGCACATGCAGAGGGAGAAGGGGCGGCCTGGAGGGCAAAGCACAGGGGTCCCGGGGGCCGCAGCCACGGCATCCAGGCAAGGGGTCGGGGCCACAACAGGGTCTCAGCCGCTGGGCTGCACTGATGCAGGGAACCTGGGTGACTGACATCCTGGCACAGCGCAGGTGGCACCTAGAACCCACATCTGGTGCCCCCACTGGCAGGCAGAGTTCATTCGTTCATGTATTCATTCATTCATTCCATTATTTAATATTTACTGAGCACCTGCAAAGGTGCCAGGCACCACCCTGGGCTTTAGAAGTTCAGTGTGAACAAGACAGACACGTCTGTGCCTCATAACGGAGGAGGGGGACAGAGAAGGGCTCCGTAATAAGGTCAGTGAGGCCCCTGAAACCTGCCCAACCTGCCTCCTCCACGGGGATGCCCGCCTCTCAGCCTCACTTGCTCCCACCCCCGTGGCAGAGCCTTGGGCTGGCCCCTCCACAGGGTCCTTGCCCCCAGCCTTGCCTCCTTCGGTGCCCACTACTGGCCACTCTGCTCATTTAAGTTGAGTTCCCTCACCGAGGGGTCCTGCCCTGAGTGACTCGGTGGGAAGAGCAAAGGTCAGCAAGCCCAGAATGACTTGGAGTCCACTCACGCCCCACCTGGAGACTTCCTTACTGGCTGTGTGACCTGGGGCGAGTCGCTCTACCTCTGTGTCAGCCTCCTCTCCTAGAGATGAGGAAATCTGTGTCCTGCACCAGGCAGGGGCTCTAGAACCACCTAGGTTTGACCTTGGTCCCTCCTGGACCCCCTTCCTGCCACCCCACGCCCTGGGTCACCCTGTCTTCAAATGACCCCTTGGGCTGGAGCCCAGGACCCAAACAGGGAGGCCAGGATGGTCTGCCTGGGAGAGAAGCTGCAGGGGGAGAAGGCAGGGGCTAAGGGGAGCTCAGGGGTGGGGTCCACAGCTCCAGCTCAGGAAACATCCTGGGGTGGCTCCAGGTCACGTGGCCTGGAAATTGGGTGCAGGACGATGGGGGAGGGCGGGGGAGAGATGGTGTCATCTGGCGCCAGTGTCCCTGACACCATATCCCTCGTTGAGCCGGTAGAGGTAGGGTGAGCAGGAAACACGAGCTGCAGCAAGACACTGGTGGGGAAGGGCACGGAGAGGCGAAACGGAGTGGGCTGCGGCGTGTTTGTGTGTGTGCGCTCACGTCTGTCCTGGAGGTCTCTATACATCTGTTTTTGTGTGTCTGCATGTCTGGGTCTATGAAGTGTCTGTAGGTCTGCCTGTGTGTGTTTATGGGTCTGCATGTACAAGCATCTTGGGTGTTTATGTGAAGGTGTGTGTTTGTGTACATGTCTGTTTTGTGTTTCCATATGTTTCTATGTGTGATTGTGTTAGTGAATCTACATGTAGTTGCCTGTTGGCGTTTATGCGTCTGTATGTGTTTGTGTGTGCGTGTCTTCAGAGGTCTGTGTGCATCTTGTGTTTGAGTGTGCTTTTGTGTGTGTGAGCCTGTGGGCAGGAGCCGCTGGTTGACTCCCTCCCTCTCCCCCAACTCCACTATGGCCAGACCGCTATTGTGGCCCAGCCCTGCTGGCAAGTCTCTAGTTTGGTCACTTACCCTTGATGTTGGGGGCCATGGACCAGCGGGCCACACCCACAGTCTGCGGGGCTGTCGGTGGGTCCTGAGTCTCGCTGGGTTTGTAGTCGAGATACTCTGTGTCCCCTCCTCCCCTCCTCCAATGCTGGAGCCAGCTGGAGCCACCCACATCCCACATGGAGCCCCAGCCAGGCCCTGGACAGCCCCAGACCTGCTGCTCAAGACTGCTGGGTACAGCCAGGCCCCAGGGCCAGCAGAGATGTTCCACAGACTCCCAGTAAGGGGCAGGGGTAGAGGTGGAGGGTGGGGACCAGCTGCTGGACCACTGAGTCTGCCCTCCTGCATGCGGGGCTGGGCTGCAAGGTGCAGGGGACATCCCCGGCCGAGGGCGGCTGCTGCCTTTCTGTCCTGTGCGACTTCAAGCCGCTCATGCACCCTCCTCTCTGGGTCCAGGTTCTTCATTTATAAAATAAGGGGCTGGTGCTCGCAGGGCCACGGCGTACAGTTGTACGGTTGTGTACTGCACAAAAGCACCTGGCAGAGGTGACGGAAGGCTCTAAGAGGCAGCCCAGATTCCGCCTTGCAGGCTGAGGGCTCCGGTCTCAGGCTGCAGCACCTGGAGAAAGAGAGGCTTTTCTCTTCCCGTTAAGACTTTTACTATTTAGGTCCTGTGCTCACATGGGGGCGTCTGCCTAGAGGGAGCCTTGTTCTAATTCTCACAAAGGCACTGGGGCACCAGCCTTTGGGACCAGCCGCCACCCCTCCCAGTGTCGGTGTCTGGGGACTCCATCCACTGCGGACCCTCCGCTATCCATCTCTGGAGAGAGATCTCTGCGACTCTTCCTGCCCGGCTGTCCTCCCCTCTCCTTTATTTACAGGTATACGAGTGTATGTATGTATGTGTATATGTGTGTGTGTGTGTATGTGTGTATGTATGTGTGTATGTGTATGTATGTGTGGGTGTGTATGTGTGTATGTGTGTGGGGGTGTGTATGTATGTGTGTATGTGTATGTATGCATGTGTGTATGTGTGTGTGTGTGTGTATGTATGCGTGTGTGGGTGTATATGTATGTATGTATTTATTTAACTTCTTGGCTGTGCCGCGCGGCATGTGGGATCCTAGTTCCCCAACCAGGGATCAAACCGCGCCGCCCCGCGTTGGAAGATGGGCAGCGCGGAGACCTAACCACCAGACGGCCAGGGGAGTCTTCCTCCCCGCTCCTTTAAACCCAGAAGGGCCCCCGGCTGTCCTGCTTTGATCCCCTGCCCCATGCTGTAGACCTACCTCCCGCCCGCCTCCCC